TGTGCATTCGTTTGACGTCTTTCTTCAGCAGTAATCTTAACAATATCAAGCAAAGAATGTTGGATCTGAAAATATCCTTTTCTAATTTACTCCTAGTCCTGTCCTCGATAATAAGGCAGAAAAGTGAGCAAAAGTAGTCAGCTTGCCCTGTTTCATAGTAGCTTGTCTCCTGTTTCCTGCTCTTTCCAGCTACTGCAAAACGGGCACCTAACCAAATTACCATCTCATACCTGTGGAACTACATTTTTATTATATATTTTGGGCTGTCTTCTAAAAGCTAAATTAAACTGTTGGTTGATATTGACTAAACCAGTATTGTTTAAAAACGAAGCCTGCAATTCTATTGCAATCTCAGCTTTAGAAGGCTTTTTGCTATTGTGCGCTTGATGTAAGGTAAGGGCTCTGCTAGTTCCATTCTTGTTGATTAATAGGGTGTTAAATAGTTTCTGAAAAATAGATAGCTCAAAACTTGTGATAAGACCTTTTATGCTGCTTTTAACATGTACTCACAAACCCTAGGTATTTACTATTCACATAATAATCTTCTGTGCAGGTTTCAGGAATGTATTAAAATGATTCAGTAGCGTAAATGTGAAATGTAGACAATGAAGACAGTCAAATGTAATTTTGACTATCTATCTACACCGTTGTATAAAATGTAATTTTGACTATCTATCTACACCGTTGTATAAAATTAGGTAACAAGATGGTACTAGAAAATTCAACATGCTGGTTTCTCTTAAATTCTATTGCAAAATTGCTTCATTGTGTGTCAAACTATTCCCAGCCATTATCAAAGCTTAATAAAGTTTGCATACGAACTTTCTATGTGTTATAGATGCGGTGGCTAAGCTTTGAAGGGTAAGGGCAGGAGGGAAGTAGTCCATCCTGTTTCAGCTAACACTTAGTTTATTAAGATCAAATTGATAAGAGTAAAGTAAAATAATAATAATATATTTAAAAAAAAAGTATTATTAGGCACCCAAAAACATTAACCGTATTATAGCCCCTTAAAACTTTGGTAAATACATTTTTCTTAGCTTCACATTCCTTGCCATAACTTTAAATCAGACGCTAAAATGCTAAGTGTCTTTAGCATGTACTTTTATCTCTGTAGGCATGGAGCAACGACATCATATAATTTATGTCTGTATTATTGTAATTCAGTTCTCCTAATCTTCCTTACTTTAAATACTTACTATACTTACTACTTACTATAAATAACATTGCTCAGATTCCCTTTAAAATAAAAACAAAATGAAAAAAAGGGAGGGAAGGTCTGCAAATAACTCCTCCCAAGGGCATGACCTCTTCCGTCTATCAAGACCAGAGCAGGTAGATAGGGAAGTTTCATATAAAAGCACCCTTCTAAGTAACTACGTGTTAAATCAGCTTGCAGATCGAGCTTTGACAGGTGCTGATATGAAGGGCTGACAGAGGCCACATGTGAACTGTATGCTGCACGTTCATTATTTTCCTGTTTCCCCAGGATATCTGAAGAAAACAGAAAAGATCAAAATCTACTGCAGCGTAGTCCTTTGTATGAACAAATCCTCCAACACTTTTTCACTAACAGAACAGTACATTTCTGTTGCTGTTCTGGAGCATGATAGTTGTCTCAAGTCATAATATTTCACTCCAAATAATCTTTTACTTGAGGGAAAAATATACTGAGGCATAGAGCCAACAGTTGGACCTCTATATTTTCATCAATTATATTTTCAGTTATTACTTCAGGCTTGTATCCAAATGTAAACAGCTGACACTCCATACACAGTTTTCAAAGTAATGTATAGTTAAATGGTACATCTCATAAAACAAAACATTCCTTACCACCCAGCAAAAATATTCAGATTTCACATTATTTTTCCTATTTCAAGTTGAGAGCCTTTGGATGGTATGTACCCAGCTGAAGAGATCACACATTTGCTTCTGATAAATAACTTCTTATGAAAGAACTCCTATGCAGAACATAATGGATAAATTAAAAAGTTAGGAAATACGCCTCAGAGAATAATCTTAAAGTCTGAATCCACAGTAGTAGCCCAAAAGGAATATTCAAACAGACTTTAAATATGCTTGCAAAACAGAGTGAAGTGTCAAATTTTAGGGTTCTGTTACAGAAGGAGCTGAGTACTTTGCTTTAAACCTAAGAAAGCACTTAAACATCTTAAACTTCAAACTTTTTTGTAGCTACGCTGTCGCTATATACATTCCTAGAATCATACGCTGTCCAGCTATTTGATGAACATAGGTATTGTATCAGGAATGCACTTTTAAAGTGAATATTCCAATCATTCCTGTATACTGTCATGCAGCAATATCAAAAATTGCAAAACTGATTCTTTTTGAATTAATTATGAATTGAGGTGGGTACAACAGGTATGTTCCAACTGCTAATGGGCATTCAGTCCACAGAAGCTATTAGAACTAGTCTGAATAAACCCTCCTGAAATGCATATAGTGTGGATGTTGGCTTCTCAGTACAAACTGACGTACCCTACAAGTCTACGCCCGTTAGCTGTACTACTTGCTTATGTAAATGTAACCTAAGTCTTCTGAGTTAGAACTGTGGGGTTCTTTTGCTGTCGGTAGGGTTCTCCGTAATTAAGAATAAAGGTGGCCACATTCCCTTATAGTCCAGAGGACATCAAGAGTAAGCCTCAGAGAAAGCTGGATAATAACAAAGAGTCTAGGTACATTATAGAAATGGATAAGCAAATTTTTCCTCAGGCATGCTTGTGTGCTTAGTATGTGGGCAGTCCTGGAATGGGAAGACAAACAGGACCCAAGGAATGGATTTGTTGAAATATGGATTATTTTTGTGGCAGCAGAGCTGGAAAGATCATGGTGCGGACTGAAATTCATGTTTCTATCAAATGCTAATGTTACTTGAGGCGTCTCAGAAATAGTCTATTTAGGGATGATTTGAAAAACAAACAAAATCAGATATTGAAGTGAGTTTTGCAAAGTTGGTTAGTAAGCCATTTTGCCCTTATGAAAGACTGCACATACATTAAGGATCTCGTACAATAGGACTGTAAAAAGAAGGTGAATCTTGAAATATTTACACTTTGAAGAAACTACAACGTATGTTTTTGATAGACTTTCACTCTTCATTTCAGTATTCCAAGAATGAGGAATATCTGGTATTTCTTGGGAATTTCTTCTATTAATTAATTATTCCCATTCAAAAACTTATGTCTTCCTGTTTAAACCATACTGGTTTCATATTTCAACTCTTGCTTCATAGGTGGTGTGTTTATACAGAATAATTATTTTATGATTGGTCTACTTTTATGACTCAAAAATTGTACAATTTGTAAAGTCAGAGATAGTAGCACAGAGCGCTAGGGTCTGTGTGCGGACTACATTTTACATGGCTTTGATATCACTGTAATTTATGAGGATTATTCCTTCATTAGGAAAGGAATGAGAATACACCCTGAATTCTTTCATTTTAAGAACAGGTGAACCCTGATTTTGGGGCTTTAATATCACCTTTCTTTATAAGATGTAAATATATAGCCCCATGAATTTATGTGGGCCAGTTTTACTGAATACAAGATTTGCATATAAGATATAAAACAAAGAAGAGAGTTGCGTTGTGTAGCTAACCCCCTCCCCCTGAAAGACTCACTAACATACAGAATCTGCTTCCTAACTGAATCAGAATGACATTACTTTTTATGTCTAACACTTCTTTCTTTAATTGAGGCTTTTTCTTTCTTCTTGTGCTGTATTGCAACACCATCTTTGAAGATGCTATTGATGGAATTAATCACTTCTCCATATACCAGAGCACTGACATCCTGAATTTGTTACATCAAAGGATATTGACTGAGGAGACAAATAATTAAATGACCCGTAACACAGGTAAATGATACTCTTGGGATCAAAGGAATCCCCTATATGAATACTGTGTGCTGCTCTGTTCTGCTAGTCATAGAAAGTGTCATTTGGGTGCAGTGGTTGTAGTGAGGTAGCTTTTGTCAGTCCATCAAAGTGAAGGTTTTCTAAACAGGATATTCTTGTTTGTGTTCCTTGTTTGCTAATTGTTCAGAAAATACAGAGATGAATGTAAAACTTGGTCACATACCAATTAATATGACATGGCTACATTAGTGCTTGCAGGCTAGGCTTCTAAACTGTTTTCAAATGAAATGAAAGTCAGTAGCTAATGGTCGGTTTTGGAACGGAAAGAGTTGGCTGACTAAGAAGTGGCTGATGCTTGAAAATAGTCTGCCAAAGGTATTACCTTTAAATCATATCCTGAACCAAGAGCATCATTTTTAGTCTTCCATGAAAGTTAAGCTTAAGACATAAAACACTCCTTTTCTAGTAGAATAAGAATGCACACATAGAAAGTTAGTGTGGAACAGCTATTGTGCTTTTTCTCATTATGTAGCTGGGATTGCAGGAGCTTGTTTGCATGGAAATGCTCTGATGTGCCTTCTTTGCGTACGCTGTCCTAGGAATCACAGAAGTCTGTCGCTATGTAGCTCTTCTATCCTCTTTTCCTTTACTTACTCCTCACACTTTTGGAAAATACAGATCTTCAACTGTGAATATTAGTGCTTTATATATCAACAACTTTGAACTAAGTTGGATATTTCACTGCTGTGCAAATTAATTCATGAAGCTAAACATCTGCATGAGTATTTGAAAAGAAAGTAGAAATAATACCAGTGCTGTGAAGTAGTTATTCTTTATGTTATAGCTTCTCTGAATATGATGGATAACAGCTGCTCTCCTAAAGCAAAACAACTTGAAATATGCATATGTGTGTGTGATACAATATTTAGAAGAAGAATAAATTAAAGATATTGAGTTTGTTTAGAAGCTGATGGCTGATGGCACCAGCTAGCATAAATTTATATACTGCTATTGAAAGTCAGAGAGAGATCACTGAATGACTCAGTATGAGGAAACAAACCTTGAATATGTTGAATGATAATATGAAACTATTTCTGGTAAAGAAAAAAGATGAAGCCTCTAGCTGCAAGAATTTTTGGAGGATTTATTAACTTCTATCTGTTATAGTAAAACACATATTCAGGTGTAAGAATAAATAATAATCTCAAATGGATTTCAACCATTAGCCTACTATATGCAAATTCTGTACTGCTATAACGGTAATCAGGTATGATTAATTCTTTATGTGTTTTTTTTGTAAAATAATTGTTCATACACATTTATTGTCAGTGTTATTTTTTATCACTTCATTAAAGTTCATAAAGATCCACATTTTTTGTGAGTTTCTTTCCATCATTTTTTAAAACTAACTTTCTCGACTTATGGTACACCTATCCAGTTAGTGCAGAAGTAGTACACTTTATGGGTAGAACTAAGGCACAGTAGCTACTAAATAAGAAAATAATTACTTCACCTGTACAGTGTTTGTACTGGAAGGGACTACTTCCCCTTTGGAGTCACTCTTCTGTGAATTTTTAATAAAAAATGACTTAACTTCAGCCCTGGGGATGTGGCCATTAGAAGATTAAACAAGTCCCTCCCAAAGTGACAGTTCCTCTTCCATAACTTGTGCCATGAGTAGGAATGGGCTATTAAGTCTAAGTTGTCCTCTAACTGAATTCAACTATAGAAAGCTTCCTGATTTCAATAGGATTGGATTTACATTACAGAAAAATTTGTGTAATGCCAGGGTCTTTACCTGGCTTCTCTACAGCTGGAAAACTTTGCTTCATCAGTTTTATTCATTACAGAACAACTTGTAAACAACTCATAAAACCACAAATATGCAGTAATGTTTTCCCCTAGAAAACTTTGTTTACATGGAGAACTCCCACTACATATTTTGATATGACACCTGAAGATAAAGCAATTATTTCTCATGTTATATTATATGTTCTTTCTTTACTGAAGTACCACTGGATTGAAGGAAATTATTGAAATAATGGATCTTTAAAATGTCACTTACCTGATCTGTGGAAAGTTTATTCACTATGTTATATGTTATAAGACTTCTCTGAATACATACTTAAAAAAAATTTGATGTTTAAGCAAAGCAGAAGACATCTCCAGCTAACACTCTATATTTTCATAATTTTTAAATTAATTCCCTATTTTATTTTATTTCACTTGTTTAACTGTGTTTTCAATACGGCTAACATTGAGTGAGCTCTTGGCAAGTTAACATAGCAAAAGAAAAGATAAAACTCGAGTTGCCTTAGCAATACTGTGTGTACAGGGAGAGACAGTTTTCAGACATTTTTATCACCAAGATGTTTTAAATAGTCTGAGAGTTTTTGCGTTGAGGAAGCATGCTAGAATAAAATGAAATGTTTATTATTTAATCTGTTAATTAAGATAGGGAAATATGTTATAATATACCTTTAGCATTCACCTACAGCACAGTCAGACAAATTAACTTCATATAAGGCATTTTATTATTATACTTTTTCCTTCCCTTTCTTCTGATCATCTCTTTAGAGAAATGAAAGTACTGAATCTTTAAAAAAAGTTGAAGCTCCTTAAGCAAAGACTTGGGTTGCATTTAATTTGTCAACATAGGTTTGCCCATACTCAAAATATAGAAGACAGCAATATCCTTTTTTAATTGAAAAGTGATTTTACCGTAAGAAAGGAATTCAATGCCAGTGATAGCAATTTCTAATATTACAACATGAACAAGGTTCAGTATTAGTAAAGAATAAACAATACAGAAAGTAGGAGAGAAAAGTAGAATGTGTGAGTAAACACATTCCTTAGTGAGAACAAAAATCTGAGCCACTTCCCTTGAGGGCCAATGGCTTCTGACTCCTGATGATGTCCTGCACATACAGGAGTCATGTGCAACACCAAGCTGGACACATACTTCTGAATGAAGCTTTTCCTTCGGTTCAGAATTAGAGGGGTACCAGTTGTTGAGATGCCTCTGCCTTGCCCAGAAACAGGATATAGCCGATCACTTTTTAAGTTGGTGAGAAGAGGGAATCATGACGCAGCTGGTAGTGAGACAGCGTCTCTGAGTCTTCTAAGAATTAGTCTATGTACTACTTTGTCTTTCCTCTTGCTTCTTTCTACTTATGGACAGAAGAAGCAGGATTATTGCTGGTATACTACTAGTGCTTCAGACCTAGAGGAGATGGGTAGGATCAAAAAACTGCAGAAATGTTTTGTCCATGAGTCAAGTAAAATCAGCTCCAGCCTGAAGGTGAGAAGTTCAGCACATCTTGGGGAGAAAGAGGCATTGTTCCATTGGCTGTACCTGATCTATGAAGAAGTGGAGGACTTAAATATCAAGGTTGAGTTAGGCACCTTTTAAAAGAGCAAATCAGCTTTTTGTTTTCAAAGTGTTATATAAATTCTCTACTTATCTGAGAGCTAAAACAATGCTTGAACATAGCTGTCAATATACTGGAGAGTTTTTAAAAAGTGTTTGCCTGTTAATTTCCAGTCAGCTTCAGCAGTTTATTAGTGTTCACGTAAATCAAAAAATTACTATAGTAATGCTCTATAGTCTCTCTGTAGAAAATTTATCTTTCTATGTTCTGTTGACTTAATAGATAGAAAAGTAAATACATAGCTATTAAATACACTTTATACATGATTGAAAAGCAGGGAAGAAACCAAATGTAACCTCAGAATTTAAAGTTTCTCCTTTTAGAATTTAGAGCAGAGATGCTATGTGAAAAAAGCCCTGATAGTTTTATGAAGGCCATGAAGTGGGGTTGTAAAAAGGTGCTGAAGCTGCTTTGTGTGTCGTGGTTCATTAACTCCAACTATCACGTCTGAATTCCATCTGATGGATGACCGGGTCCTTCCTTTCTCATATCCTTTATCTCACTGGCTTCAGGTGACCAGCTCCCAAAGCTACCTTTTCAGAAGTTTGTCTAACAGTCAGTCTGAGTAGTATTTCTTATTCTAAATCACTTCAGTCACACTTGCATGCGTTTTTTTCTTGCTGGACTTGCTCCTTTTCTTGTACACTTCCTGTGTGAAGGATTCCTCTGGAGAGAAATGGGACCATCATTAATGAAAAGCATTAATTTTTACAACATAAAAGTTTTCCCACTGGACAAGACTTATCTTTGGAGCTCCGAAAATTCTGATATAAATTAAAAATAGAAAGTGTAAAAGCCTGATCGAGCACTAACTACCTTCCAAGTTCAGGCTTCATATGAGGGAGTGAAGAAGCAGTGTTTTAAATAGCACCCACGTAAGACAACCACATAACTTATAGTATGTCAGCCATCTGTGAGTTTCCCAAGTTCTTGTTTCTTTATTAGAATTAACTGTGTCAAGGCAGAGCATTAGCTCTAAACACAATGCAAAAGATATGCAATAACTAAGGATGTTTCTCACTTTATTTCAAGTTGTTTGTGACTAAAAGTTATGTCATGATTATTTGGTGTCCTAATAAAATGAAATAATGCTTTCAAACCAATGTCAAGTAGCACCTCTCTTTTTAGGAATAATTTAGCAATACATGGACATAAAACTACCTTTTTTTTCCCCTACTAGAATTCAAATATTCTAACAATTTTGAGAGCTTGGAATTTATTTGGAAAGTCTGATTCCAACTAAAACCCCATGTCACAGTGACAAAAGGAATACTCTTTCATTAATTACATATGATTGATTTTTGGTGTGATTTAAGTACTGTTACAAGACATTATTCTAGGAGCAATGAGTAGAGGTTTATTCCTTTGCATGGCAAAAATCCACTGAAGAATGAATTGAATCACTATTTCAGATGTCTCCCATTAAATGACTGAACATACTTCCTATTGACAGTAGCTCCTCTTCCTCCAAGCAATACAGAGAAATTTCTTCTTCTCTAAAATAAGTAAATAAGTAATGCTTTGTTGTTAAAACATTAATTTCATTAGCATGACGGCTAGTAGGAAATTTTATGAAGTCAGCAAGAGAAGTAAGAAGTATAAATTAAACTAAGAAAAATCTGAACACATTTGCTGAAGTAAGATGAAGTATAGGTTTAGTCTTATTTACTGAGTTTATAAAATCGAAGTCTAATATACCATAAGGCTGCCTTTTCTTGGCTCTTAATGTCGTCATAAGTGTTGTCCAGAATTTTTCATTTTATATGCCAGATGTGTTGTGCCACAATAAAACAATCGATAAGCAAAATAAGGAGTCAATAACAAAGCTGTAAACATGTGGGACTCTTATGATACTTCTTATGTTACTGGTTTTAAGCCTACCCAGTTATCTGTACCTGTAGACCATGAAGTTTTGAAAAGAATTCTTATAAATCTACTTTGTCATTATTAGCAGAGAGGTATCTGCCATAGATGTGTTACATGCGTTAAATATCTAGATGTGTATTTATTTTGTTCAAATAGTCAAAATGGTATCCATAACATTAAATTACCGACTTGTTCCCAGTTAAGGTTGTGTGTTATGTTTTTTTCCCATTGAAAAGATTTTCTATATTCCATTTTTGTTTTAATAATTTTGAATTTATTTTCCTTCAAAATACCACTATCATGGGATATTCCTGTCAGATGTGTTTGATATTGATTTCTCAAGATCCTATCAGCATTTGTGTTTCTTTTAAAATGTTTCCCATATTTTAAATAGGAATGTTTCCCATATTTTAAATGTTACAGATAAACTGAGTATCCTACTTCCCACCTCTGTTAGCTTGTTAAAAAGGCCATTTTACTAACTGATAAATGCTTGACTAGTACTCAGTCATGCTTTACATCTGTATGAAACTGTTAGCTTTTTGATATTCAGGATTTCTGTTCAATAGGGAAGTCTTTCATTCCAAAGAGCACCCACTCTAAATCAGAAAGAAAACTAAAACTGTCTGTATTTCCCATGGTCTAAAAGTTATTCCCAGTTATTTTTGAAAACAAAATATTTCCATTATTTTTTTCCCAGAACAAGGCGAGGCTCTTCCCTCAGATTCGAAAGACTTCTTGAGAAGGTTTCTGGAAGTCATAGGCATCCTTTGCCATGGAACAGGGAATACAGAAGCTCTCAGCTCAAAGAGGTTGTTAAACTCTCTGTTGCTTTGGATGGAAATGCTATGAAATCCAGTTATGATGAGGAAATACACTGATTTCAAAGACCTGACGTTTTCCAAAGAAATGTTTTCTAAATAATTTTTTATGTTAACTTCATTTATCAGCCTAGTTTAGTAATGAGAATGTCTTTTTTTTTAAATCAATGCTACCAAAACCTTATCTCCTCTTTCATACAGTAGTTTAAGTACGGTTTTTACAGTATTTTCACGGATATCTGTCTCCATCCTTGCTTCTCACTCCATCAGCCACAAACAAAATACATATGGAATTCAAGTTTATATAGTAAAGAAACTAAAAGAAATCTAATTTTATTATTTTGCATGACTAGCCAAGTCACTCAAAAGCTTACCTGAGGTCATTTATTTATGGTTCTACTGCTGTTTCTGGCTTTCTTCTCTGTCTTTCCTCTAACGTCCACAATATCTACCAAAGCCACTTTGCCTACATAGTTCAGATTCTTGGTGTTGGTAGTGACATGTTACTATCTTTACAGAATTTTACTGTTTAATAAAGCCAAGTCTTACGTATATTGTGAATGAAGAATAGCAGTCTTTTTTTCCATCAGCTTAACTGAATAACATCAAATAGCATATGAAGGGATAAATTAGTACTTTTCCTTTATGATTCCTATTATTAGCCACTAATTCCTCAGTTAAAGGATTTACTCTATTCTGTAATATATGACAAGAGCATTCTAGCCTAAGTGTGTAGAAGGGGCCACTTTCTCAGACAAGAGCGGCATGAGGATCAGCACAGACCTCGCTTACCATTCTTCCATTGTTTAACACATATGTTGTAGCATATATATCAATATTATTGATATTATATGATGGAATATCAATTTATGATTATATATTAATATTATATTGATTATATATTTATATATTGAAAAAAACTAACAACAAATAATGCTGCACTGCCCCTGACAATTTTCCTCCCTAAGGTGAGAATATTAGATATAATGAACTAAACTTAATAGATATTGTTAAGTACTGGCCTGATGAGAGTTACATAAGTTCTATGGAGGCAGAGATAGAACAAGAGTCCACATGAAGAGAAAGGAATATCAAAGCCAAGCAAGAGCATGAATTAATTCAGATACATTTCAAATGTTTCTAGCTGTAATGGAGTCTGAGTGAAAGCTCATACAGGTAGCCTTGCAATACTTCAATAATTTTTTAGGCACAAAGCCAGAAGAGATTATAGAGTCCTTCTCGTGCTATATTCTCTTTCAGATAAGAATTCGCTACACATAGATTACTATAAAGCCTATATCCTATTTGCAAAACATAGTCCTCAGAAGGCTCTTTCTAAACACCACTCACACAGATGGAATGCAAGATATTAATCATACTACTAAAATAAAAGGGTGAGAGTAGAATTAAAAGAACAGGAGCTGGTGGAGTAATTTTATTTATTGCCTTCTACCAACCCAGACTGTTCGTTTTTTAGTCTGGGAAGGACTCCTTAACCTCTCTGGCACTTACTCTGCTATATATTTATCAGCAGCATTTACCTCCCAGAGAGAGCAAAACTGTAGTGTACCTCTGAGTTTGATAAGAAATTTTTCCAGTCCACAAGTATTACCCTACAATTCAAAAGCAATCCTATGACTCCGATATGGATTAAGTTTAGTCCTAAAATAATATTTTACAGTTCTTTAGGGATTCCTGGGAAAGTCTTAATGTTCAGCTCTAACTCCCACATCATTAGTTTGAAAGCACAAGACTGTTGTTCTCTTTCTTTTCTATCCTCCCATGTCATGCTTTTCAAAGGCTGCTCATTTTCCCTGAGTTTTGCCACAAAAAGGAGTTAGTAAACTTTAAAAACTGTGTGTCAGGAGGCAAAGGAGTGACATGAGAGCACGCTAGTATTGTTTTTGTGAGGGCAGGGGGTGGACTTATAATAGGCCTATCTGATTTCTTCAGAAGTTTTCTTGGAAAAATAGCAAGATAAGAGCACTAAGTTGCTACTAACAACCAAACCCCTTGAATTTTGTATTTGATTTTGATATGACTTTCTTTGAATACAGTCATTTCATTTTGATCAACACAACACATTCCATGGTCCATTTATTGTGCCTTTTTAAAGTTAAAATCCTGAATTCAAGCTGTACTTGACAGAGCAGTGGCAGATGATATGATTATAAGTGGATGCCTTTTCCTGGTGCTTACGGTAAGTGAACTTGAGGCAGGGAGCAACTGGAGGGTTGCTATGGGGTTCTCCCACTGCCAGCCAAATGGTATAATTAGCCAAGCATCCATTCTGATTCTCTTGATTGCTGCCTTAGAAATCTTCTCTTTTTGGTAGTGTCTCTCTTGCAACACTTTCTACCCTACCCTCAAGCTCTTTGGAGGAGTTTTTTTGTGAAAAAGGAGCACAGCTCCTTCCATTGCAATATAATCACTTAGCAGTTAAGAACATTCGTGCAGGAAGTGGAAAACCTCATTTCAGTGCCTTCTTCAAGGGAGCCCAGATACACCAAAGAAAGTGCTAACCACTAGATTATAATATAACCTGAAAGAATGGTCTATCCTGTTGAAAACATATAGAAAATAATTTACATTTCTGCAGACTTCTGCTATAGTTTTTGCACTTACCCAGAGGAAGGGAGTCTGCTTCAGTCCCTATTTTAAAGCCTGTTAGTATGTTTTAAACTGAATAATATTTTGATTAAAGAGAGCTCACAGTCTACTAGCAGGGATGGGAAGCGAGCTAAAGAGCCTTTTGGCCTTCTGTCTCTGGGAATCTTGCCCCGGCATAGTGCAGTGGATTGCTTCAACAGGAGGAGCAGGGCACATTTTCACAGCTTAGTGACTGGAGGAGCTGAGGAACTGAAGTCTCCTGCTTTCTGAATAAATGCATTAACCTTGTGGTTTTATTTAAACAGAGAGGAAGGAAAAAGGACACCAAGGCTACTTGCTGCTTTGTTTTAAAAAGAAGGGTAAATCCTG